TTTTTCGCTTTGTGTGATTTTAGCTGGTTGTTAAGGTGGAACCCCACAAAAAGCACAAGGAAGAAAGTGGGGTCCCCACAAAAATGCATACTAGTTCTTTATCCAAGCATGCATCCTGGAAAATCAAAAAGGGGGGAGTGCATTCCCCTCAAACCACACCAGGCCACATGCCCCCAGTATGGGGGGATACCTTGCCCAGAGGGGTCCCCCTGACAAAGCACCTTGTCTCAGATTTTATGAAGACAAAGGCTTCTTCCCCACAACCCTGGTCTGGTGGTTGCGAGCGTCTGCAGGCAGAAGGCGTATTAAATTCTGGAAGCCCCCATTAACAATAAGGGGACACCCAGATGCCTATGCCATGTAGATGAGTAAGGGGAACGAAGTACCCCTGCTCATTCACAGAAAAAAGTATTATGTGTAAATAAAAACACACCATTTTAAAAAGTTCTTTATAAACCACTTGCCAACCCGTGACAGTAGGATTACGGTCACGAAGGAGCAGCTGAAGGCTCAGCAATGTAAAAAAATGATGCAAGCCTGCCTGCAAGTTCGGAGTACATGCTCATGCATGCTCCCTCTTGAGCCCCCCCCCCCCCCGAACCTTACTGAGCCACATGCCCTCAACATGGGGGGGTGCTTTGGGTCAGGGGGGCTCCCCACAAGGTCTCTTGTCCCTATGTTGATGAAGGGGCTGTGGTTGTGGGGGTTTGCAGGGGGTGACTTATCAGAATCTGGAAGCCCTCTTTGTCAAGGGGCCACCTGCTCCTTAATGACCATGTTGTTTACTGGATGGCAGTTGCCAGCTCCTACCAGCTAAAGTCACACAAAGCACAAAACACAAAATTAATAAAAATGCCAAAAAAAAACTGCATCAAAAACAGGTGTGAAAAAATGCACCAGGAATATGCATCAACCGCAATCTGCATAGATGTAGACCTATCCTCAGGACCTGTGCCTTCACAATAGGGAAGAACATAAGGATGTAAATATATAATTAACTGAGTTTTAGTAAATTGTTAAAAGGTTTGACTCTTCCTTTTTCTAAACTTAAGATAATAATGTTTTCTGGAATGAGCTAGTGCTGGTTGAGGATGTCCATTGCCATATGGCATGAAACAGGTATGGGATATACTACTGGTTGTGCTGGTTAGGCCAGGTGAGGCTCTCCACAGGGTGTTGACATATTGGTCAGTCCCAATGGGTACCTAGTTTAAATGTCATGCTCAGAGTACCAGTGATGCTAATAGGACCAACCTCTGTATGGGCAGGGAGTGTACGCATTCCCCACCACCTGGCTAGTTAAAATAACTTGGAAGACATACAGCCCAGCACTTGGCCAGATGATGACAACATTGGACTGTGTCTATGTAATATATGTTGAAATAATATCTTGTACTCTGCATGAGAAGCTGTGTGACATGGTCACAACACAGAAAGACAGTTGGGAGACAGGGAGATAATTTGACAATCCATAACAAGAAGTGTCTGGACAATTTCTTTCCAGGCAGGATCATCATCACTGAAGGTCTAACAGTATTGAAAATTCTGTTTGCAATTACATTAGCTTGTTAAGTGTAAAATATACATAATGTTAATATTTTGTTGAGAAATCACTTTGAAAAACAACCCCTAGCATTTCTGGCTGTGGACATCCTGAGTAAGGGCAAATAATTAATGTAACACTTACTTCCTGGAATCCATCTGATCTTATATCAGGCATGCAGGCAGGAGGGCGTGCTTAGCTGAAGAAGCTCCTCCTCACCTCCTCCCGATAAAAAAAAAATGCCCATGAAGACTCCTGGGATATATAACATTATTTAGGTCTAGGCCAGAAACCAGGCAGCAACTGAAAAAAATTAATAAAAAAAAAAAAAGCTGAAACTGTCACTACAACATTTCATATTTCTGATATGTGTCTGTTGTACCATGTACTTGTATGAAAAGTGTCATTTTCCCTTTACATTGCTTCCTTTCTGTATACCTGGTGATCTGGCCAGTCCCCCTGCTTTACTTTTCAAACTGACCACACTAGGCATAAGAGCACATCCATCCAGGCGTAGTCAGTTCTCTTGTTTGCATTCTATGTGAGAGCACAGCCTGTTTGTACTCCAATGGTCATACTTGTGCTGACAATATATTTAAATGTGGTGCTATTGTTCATGGCTCTGCCCACACAGTGCCATCATCCATTCACAGATAATTGTGGAATTAAGTGGAATGATGTCATGACCACTTGTCATTTAATGACACGTCCTCTAGCCTTGTAAATGATGTACAGGCATGTGGCTGGTGTCTGCAGCAGTCTGTGCATTACTACCATGATCCATTGATTGGTTCAAAGCAAAAAATTAATAAACAAGTCCAGGCACATGTATGCATCCTTTAATTTAATTTTTTAATCTTTTTTTTTTTGAATGTTTGCAAAAAGTAAAGCTGGAGACAGCACAATTGGTTTAGCACTTCTACCTTGCTCACTAGGGTAAATGATTTGAATCCCAACCATGATGCTACTTGCATGTTCTTCCTGTGTCTTTGTGGGTTTCCTCCTAATTTGTGCATTCAGGTCAAAAAGCAGACCTTCACCTTTAAAAAATTATTTTTTTCCCTCATGGTTGCTCCCTCTTCCGTGTTTGGAGATTGTCCCCTCACTTCTGCAAAGTTTTTTTTTTTTTTTTTACCATCTCATTGCAAAGTTTTTTTTTTTTTTTTTACCATCTCATTGCTGTGGCCCAGCACGTCCTCCTTTTCCACTAACTTGAGAATGAAGTACACCACTTGCTGCCCCTGGGATGGATACGTCACATATCCAAGGCAGCAGTGTGCCGTTGAGGAGCACCTTTGGGCCACAAGGTGCTGTAAACTACCAGATGTGCTGCATATATATATATATATATATATATATATATATATATATATATTACTGTGCAAAAGTGTTAGGCAGGGGTGACAAAGTGCTGTAAATTAAGAATGCTTTCAGAAATAGAAGTGTTAATAGTTGCGTTGCTTAGCATTGTTTCCATGTCCTATGCATGAAAACATTGGAACTGGGGTGCAGAAAGAAAGTCAGCAGGCGTTCTTGACTGATGAGTCAAAATTTTAAATATTTGGCTGTGGAAAAATGCAGTTTGTTTGCGAAGGGCTGAAGAGTTGTACAACAATCAGTATCTGCAGGCAACAGTGAAGCATGATGGAGGTCCCTTGCAAGTTTGGGGCTGCATTTCTGCCAATGGAGTTGGAAATTTGGTCAGGATCAGGGGTGTCCTCAATGCTGAGAGATACAGGTAGATAATTATCCATCATGCCATACCATCAGGGAGACGTGAGATTGGCCCCAAATGTATGCTGCAGCAGGGCAACCACCTCAAACATACAGCCAAAGTCATTAAGAACTATATTCAGTGTAAAGAAGAACAAGGAGTCCTGGAAGTGATGGTTTGACCCCCACAAAGCCCTGATCTCAACATCATGGAGTCTGTCTGGGATTGCATGAAGAGACAGAAGGATTTGAGGCAGCCAACATCTACAGAAAATCTGTTGTCAGTCTTCCGAGATGTTTGGAACAACCTACCTGCTGATTTCCATCAAAAACTGTGTGCAAGTCTACCTAGAAGAATTGATTCTGTTTTGAAGGCAAAGGGGGGGGGGGGGGGACACCAAATATTGATTTGTATTTATCTTCTGCTCATTTATTTTGCAGTTTGTTAATTGATTAAAATAAACTACTGACACTTCTATTTTTGGAAACATTCTTAATTTACAAAATTTTTTCACACCTGTCTAAGACTTTTCCACAGTACTGTATATATTATTATTATACAGGATTTTTATAGCACCAACAGTTTGCACAGCACTTTAAAACATAAGGGCGGACAGTACAATTACAATACAAATGAATACAGGAGGATTCAGAGTGCCCTGCTTGTTAGAGCTTACAATCTAAGAGGGAGGGTATATATATATATATATATATATATATATATATATATATATATTCAACTAAAGCCTGGTACACACGATGAGAGTATCGGATGAATGATCGTCCTTTTTTTTTTTTGCTTACTAGTCTCATATCGAAAATTAAGAGGTTATTAAAATTATTGTAAGACAGAATACAAGTTCGGAAGTGATGTAATGTATTGTATTGTAATGTATTCTTTCATTGCAGAGTGCTCTTAAGCCGGCCACACATGGGTCGAATTCTAAAAGAATTTTCTTTTGAAAATATCTAAGCATTTTCATTCGAATTTCGCACCATTAGTGGGCCACATAAATGGCCAATTTTCGAGCCACCATTAACTACTTGCCTACCGGGCACTTATACCCCCTTCTTTACCAGGCCAATTTTCAGCTTTCAGCGCTGTTGCACTTTGACTGACAATTGCGCAGTTTTGCAAGATTGTACTCTAAATTTCTATCATTTTTTTCTCATAAACAGAGCTTTCTTTTGGTGGTATTTGCTTGCCGCTGGGTGTTTTACTTTTTGCGCTATAAACAAAAAAATTGCAAAAAATTTGAAAAAAAAAAAAAAAAGTTTCTTTATTTCTATCATAAAATTTTGCAAACAGGTAATTTTTCTCCTTCGCTGATGTGCGTTGATGAGGCAGCACTGATGGGCACTGATAGGCAGCACTGATAGGCAGCACTGAACGGCATTGATAGGCGGCACTGATAGGCAGCACCAATGAGGTGGCACGGATAGGCGGCACTGATAGGTGGCACTGATAGGCGGTACTGATGATGGGTACTGATAGACAGCACTGATAGGTAGCACTGACTGGCATCACTGCTGGGCACTGACTGGCGGCACTGCTAGCTATTGACTGAAGGCACTGTTAGGCATTGACTGGCGCAACTGCTTGGCACTGACTGGCACAACCGCTGGGCACTGACTGGTGGCACTGACTGGCAACACTGGGCTGCACTGATGGGCACTGGTGGGTGGCACTGGTGGGCACAGGTGGGTGGCACTGCTGGGCACAGGTGGGTGGCATTTCTGGGTGGCACTGGTGGGCACATGTGTGTGGCACAGGTGTGTGGCATTGCTGGGTGGCACTGGTGGGTGCACTGCTGGGCACAGGTGGGTGCACTGCTGGGCACAAGTGGGCAGAACTGGTGTGTGGCACTGCTAGGCACCGATCATCAGGGCACTGATCATCAGTGCCCTGATGATCGGTGCCGATCCCTGCTCTAACAACTGCCGGTTCTCAGCAGTACTTTCCTCACGATCTGACAGCGAGAATTGCATTTCTCTGTGATCAGCGTGTCATTGGACACGGCTGATCACGTGGTAAAAGGCCGCTGTGATTGGCCTTTTACCACATCACGTCCGTAGGACACAGCAATCATGGAGATCACCGGGTGCACACCCCTGGGGGTGTACAGGAGAGCACGTTCTGGGAGGACATCATATGACGCCCTCCCAGAACTGGCCAGCCGCAGTGTAGCCATCATTTGGCTATCTGCGGTCAGCAAGTAGTTAGCGTGATTGGGCATGTTGGAAATTTTTGGAAAAACAAAAAAATGTAAAATCAATGATGGGAGAATAGTACGAGAAATGTATTTGAAAAAGAAATGACCATGAGCAGTGACCTGGAAAGAAAAGAAAATTGTTGGCCATGAAAATTCTTTTCTGTAGCAACATGAGGTGAAATTAAAGTCTTGGTTGGTCAAATTTTGGAATCAATGGTAGCACCATCGGATTACAGAACGCACAAAATATCCAATTTTCTAAAGAAAATTCTTTCAGAATTCGACCCATGTATGGCCTGCTTTAGTCTTCCAATTTTTTTTGACAAATACTGTACTGATTAAATAAAAATCGTTTGTTCTGGTATTGTACGTTAAACATTTTCGTGTTCGTCCCTTCAGATAATTTTTCATGAACTGTTGTGATCGGCTTTCGAAAGTTGTGTACTAACAATCGGATTATCATACAATCGCTTCGAAAGTGGTATTTTTCTTCCAATTTTCTAATCGTGTGTACCTAGGCATAAGCAGGTGAGCTGCATGTCTCCTTAGGAGGCAGGCAACTGTCAGGTTCCAAACTTTCACAATACTATTAACTAAAGTATCCACATCCCAAAATGTATTGCTCAATATGCTGAAATGATTCAGAGTATTGCACAACAATGAGCATCCCTGCTCTTTGTCAGGTGCATGTGTGACATATGCACCTGAGCAAGAGTGGGGATGCTCAAAACTGTTGTGCAATTCTTATCATGCTCTGAATAAAGTCAGCATATTGATATACATTTTGGGATGTGGGGACTTTCCTGGATATATATATATATTATATATATTAGAGGAGTCCCTGACCTACTCTGTTAGGGAACAGTTAGGCTCTGCCTGCAGTGAGAACTAAAAGGGAAGAAAGTTGAAGTCAGCTGGAAGGGTTAATGGAGCTTTGCCTTCCTAGGCTCAGATTACAATGAGAAGCCTCTTCTTTCCCAGCAGGGTTTTTGCTTACATTGGTCTTTAGATCTCAGCAGAAGAGAGTTGTATATTTATGTGAGCACTACATGTAGGTGGAAAGAACAGACACAGCAAGGCTTTTGCATGGACTTTCCTTCGTTTGTGGCTAAATTCTGCAGAAGAATTCATCTGGAACTGTGTGTTCATGAGGTCCTCCTGCTTTTTCATTTGCCGATGGATGAAAGGAAACACATGGTAACGTTATCAAGACGCCTGTGCAGGACCTGAGCCTGTCTGAGAGCCAGTTCAAGGTGTCGGAGCTTGCTGAAACGTAGGATCTCTCTCAGGAAGCCTGCTCTTCTACTGGTTAACATGGGAATGGCCAGCTCTGCTTCCCCCCAGGACTTGTATCTTCAGCAAGCAGGCGCACTAAGAGGGTAGGACGACTTGACTTGGCCAGTGGTGGTGGTGACATCTCCACAACTTATCTCCAGAGATGCTCCATGGACTGATGACACAGTCCAGTTGACTGCTCTGAAGTGCACTCAGCTCTAACAGATACTTACTACAAGGGAGAAGCGTTGGAGTGTCAGCTCTTGGGACATGGATCTGCTCAGAGTGATAGCAGTGGCCTTGATCTGGGGCTTTTGCTGCCTTGTACAAGGTTTAGGGGAAAGCCATGTCCATTCCAGTTTTATTTACAGAAGACTGAGGAATCATGAGCGAAAGGAGATCCAAAGAGAGATCCTCTCCATCCTAGGCTTGCCCCATAGACCCAGGCCATTCTCTCCTGGCAAGCAGGCTTCTTCAGCACCTTTGTTCATGCTGGACCTCTACAATGTCATGGCTAATGAAGAAGAGCATGACATGATGGGGTATACTCTGAGTGGATCTATGATGGAGAGCCGGGGACTGAGAAAGGGATACCCAACAGTAGCTAATGGTTATTCTCGGAAAGCCCAAGCTTATCGCACAGCCCCACTGACCACCCAAAGCCCACCTTTGGCCAGTCTACATGACACCAACTTTCTCAATGATGCTGATATGGTCATGAGCTTTGTCAACCTTGGTATGTATCACAAAATAATTCAGTACTGTCCGTGATACTTTTTTTATTTGCACTAACATACAATTTTGAAGACAAGCTTTCTGGGAATGTCCCCTTCTTCAGGTCCAAGCAGTACTGATCACAATGTACAATCACCTCTATCAGAAAACACAAATTCTGTGTCTACCTATGTTCCAATAACGTATCCACAAGATGACCATACAGTATACAACCTGGTTGTACAATCTATGTACTGTAATATTGACCAAATCTACTTAATATGAGGACAAATGTAAGCAGTCAATTTAATTAGTATCAAGGCAAGCCCTTGTACTATATAGCTGATGGTAGATCTAGGGCTCCTTTTCACCAGGTACAATTTGGAGCATTGTTTTGGCCATATTCTAAATGCATGCACAATAAAATCGAAGTTTTATAATCACCCTAGTTTACACCATCGCATTGTGTTCTAGTGCTTTAAAAAAAAAAAAAAAAGAATCAAAGCATCCATTTTATACAATTTGATTGTACAATCTCTGTAAAATCTCCTTCTGATTGAACAAAACGATCTAGTATGAGGACAAACCCAAACAATCCATTTAATTAGAATCAAATCAGGTAAGCCCTTGCACTACTATATAGATGAAGGTAGATCCTTAACACCAGATGCAGTCAGTGCAATTTTATAAACGCATCCCCAAAGCATGCACTGTAATATCCATGTTTTCTAATCATTCTAGTGCACACCCTTGCATTCTGTTCCAGTACTTTGAACACAGGACAGCAGCATGAATTTTTTCTACACCAGAACGCACATAATGATGTGTAAACGCAATAAAACATCAATGTGAGGGGAAAACATGTTTTTTTAATGCATAAAAATTGTCCTGTTCATTTTTTAATGGTATACATGTATATGCATGTCCTCAGATGCAGATTTATGAATTTTGAATTTCAGATCTGAGCACAGTGCATATTTTAGGCACCTGTGTGAATGTCTCTATTGAAAACAATGCAGCTGCGTTCAGATCCGTAAATGAAAAAAGGGCTGTAAATGGCTTTTTATGGCCTTGTGAATGAGGCCTATATAAAAAAAAAAGCAAATGTTTTGCAAACGCTTGTGAACGTGCATATAGAACTGCACACTGGATGCTTGGAATGAAAATGAACCGAAAGGCCCATTCACAGTGTACTGCTGCAACACTCCAAAACATATGTGCATAGAATCCTAATGTTAAAAAAATATGTGGTTTTCATATCTCTGCAATGATTTCTAGCACGATTCAGAAAATAGGACCCATACGATTTTCTACTGGTTGTTCAGTGTTATGGGGTGTGCGGAATAGTATAGTGCGTCATAACGCCTGGCAAATAAAATGCAGCTGATGCACAGGTGCTAATGGGACCTTTTGAAGATTGTACAATCAGATTGTATAGTGTATGGTCATTATTATTATGCAGGATTCATATAGCACCAACAGTTTGCGCAGCACTTCACAAAATGAAGGTAGACATTACAGTTACAATTATTATTATACAGGATTTCTATAGCGCCAACAGTTTGCGCAGCTCTTTACAAAATGAAGGTAGACATTACAGTTACAATTATTATTATTATTATTATACAGGATTTCTATAGCGCCAACAGTTTGCGCAGCGCTTTACAAAATGAAGGTAGACATTACAGTTACAATTATTATTATTATTATTATTATTATTATTATTATTATTAAACAGAATTTATATAGCACCAACAGTTTGCGCAGCGTTTTACAAAATGAAGGTAGACATTACAGTTACAATTATTATTATTATTATTATTATTATTATTATTATTAAACAGAATTTATATAGCACCAACAGTTTGCGCAGCGTTTTACAAAATGAAGGTAGACATTACAGTTACAATTATTATTATTATACAGGATGTATATTGCGCCAACAGTTTACGCAGCGCTTTACAATAAAAGGGAGACAGTACAATTACAATACATTTCAGTACAGAAGGAATAGGAGGACCCTGCTCGTGGAGCTTACAATCTAGGAAGAAACATCTTGTAGAACATTATTGCAAAAAATGAATTCATAAGGATCCCCAAGGTTTGCATAGAACATGGATCAGGATGAAGATGATGACAATCATTCAATTATTTAGAATGAATATGTATTAATTCTGTCTGCTATAGAAGGGTCTAACTAGGGCTGGTGTAAAATATCATGGCTTGACAGCATACTTACATAACCTAAAAAGAACCCCCCTAATCTGTCCAATTTTCTAAATCTAGCCTATACACCAGAGAGTAGAGAAATAGATCATTTCATTAGTAAATACCCACACATCGCTTTTTTATCATATTAACTGACAGATTATGTCTATTATCTTAGCAGATGATCAGCAATCCAATTTCTCAACCCTTTTCGTCCTGGTTAGTTGTTCAGCAGAGGGGGGAAAACGTTTGACAGGTCACATCTTGTACTGATCAGGGTTGCTCTGTGGTTTATGTTGAATTCTTAACACAAACATGATGGAAGATATAAGTTCCCCATATGGTATAGTTACAGGAGATTGTTATTTCTTATTATATGCTTCATGGCTTTGTAACAAGTTTACAGAAGGTGCCCCTCAGCCCATGCTCCTTGGAGGGCACTTGGAACCTGCTCCATCATGGCTGCTCCTACTATAGGAAGGGGTGGGGGAGAGTGGGGCTCATTTACATTATTCAATCTCTTATTGTAGAACAATTAAAGCAGCAATAAACAGAAGCCGTGTTTAGATCAGCGTGGGAACTTGCCAAATGAGGATAAGAAAATAAACACTTCTGCTGAGAGATTTCAGCCATACAATGCTCTATCAATAAGTAGTGTCAGGGGCTGCTCTTGGGTAGACACCCCCCCATTT